GATCAGTCTATAGTCTAGTCTATAATATAGTATGTGATCTAGTGTATAGTCTAGCCTATAGTCCAGTCTATAGACTAGTCTATAGTCTAGAATATAGTATAGTCATAGTTTTGTTTATTGGTATTAGACTAAGTACTTCACATAGTACTGATTGTAGGGTATTTGCTGCAACAATAAAACAGAGCGAAGATGTTTCTTTGTATTTACTAACAAATTAATAAACAATTCTATACTTTACAACCCACTATTCATTTTGAATAACAAACCCTCTCTAAAGCAAATCTATTAAGAAAATAATAAATAAATTTATAAATTTTTTAATGTTTCAAAAACACCCTCTATAACGAACAACAACAAAATGATGATTAAATTATAAATTAAGAATATTAAACAAATCTTTATATTATTTAGTAACAATTTAGACAGCAAATAAAAAGACGTTTAATTGTGCTAAAAAAAACAAACATTTCAATACAACAGGTGAAATTAACAATTTTTTAAAATTTACAATTTCAAAAGTGAGTGTGAATTTTGAATAAAAATTTTTATTTGTAATTCTATAAACATATATACAAAAATCATTATAAAATCGTGAAGAGTCATAAATTTATATTTATTTTAATAAAAAATATCAGTCTCCTTTTTGAAAAGATACTAAAATGAAAAGTATTTGACGCCATGATAAGATAATAAGACAGCAAAAAAAAAATTTATAGTTTATTTTAAACTTTATAATACAAAACAATAAAACAAAACGTTATTGATGTTATTTTAACATCACTTATGAAAACAAATAGATAGCACAGGTGTCGCCTTATAAAAACTAAAGGAATTACTATTAGAACCAAGGGTTATAGTGTAGTCTATAGTCTAAAGTGTAGTCTAAAGTCTATTCTATAGCCTAGTCTAAAGTCTAGTATATAGTCTAGTCTAAAGTCTAGTATATAGTCTAGCCTATAGTTTAGTCTATAGTCTAGTCTACAGTCTAGTCTATAGTCTAGTCTATAGTCTAGTCTATAGTCTAGTCTATAGTCTAGTCTATAGTCTAGTCTATAGTCTAGTCTATAGTCTAGTCCATAGTCTAGTCAATAGTGTAGTCTATAGTCTAGTCTATAGCCTATCTATAGTCTAGTCTATAGTCTAGTCTATAGTCTTGTCTATAGTCTAGTCTATACTAGACTATAGACTAGGCTATAGACAAGACTATAGACTAGACTATAGACAAGACTATAGAGTATAGACTAGACTATAGACTAGACTATAGACTAGACTATAGACTAGACTATAGACTAGACTATAGACTAGACTATAGACTAGACTATAGACTAGACTATAGTCTAGACTAGACTATAGACTAGACTATAGGCTAGACTATAGACGAGACTATAGACTAGACTAGACTAGACTATAGACTAGACTATAGACTAGACTATAGACTAGACTATAGACTAGACTATAGACTAGACTATAGACTAGACTATAGACTAGACTATAGACTAGACTATAGACTAGACTATAGACTAGACTATAGACTAGACTATAGACTAGACTATAGACTAGACTATAGACTAGACTATAGACTAGACTATAGACTAGACTATAGACTAGACTATAGACTAGACTATAGACTAGACTATAGACTAGACTATAGACTATAGACTAGACTATAGACTAGACTATAGACTAGACTATACTAGACTAGAGACTAGACTATAGACTAGACTATAGACTAGACTATAGACTAGACTATAGACTAGACTATAGACTAGACTATAGACTAGACTATAGACTAGACTATAGACTAGACTATAGACTAGACTATAGACTAGACTATAGACTAGACTATAGACTAGACTATAGACTAGACTATAGACTAGACTATAGACTAGACTATAGACTAGACTATAGACTAGACTATAGACTAGACTATAGACTAGACTATAGACTAGACTATAGACTAGACTATAGACTAGACTATAGACTAGACTATAGACTAGACTATAGACTAGACTATAGACTAGACTATAGACTAGACTATAGACTAGACTATAGACTATAGACTAGACTATAGACTAGACTATAGACTAGACTATAGACTAGACTATAGACTAGACTATAGACTAGACTATAGACTAGACTATAGACTAGACTATAGACTAGACTATAGACTAGACTATAGACTAGACTATAGACTAGACTATAGACTAGACTATAGACTAGACTATAGACTAGACTATAGACTAGACTATAGACTAGACTATAGACTAGACTATAGACTAGACTATAGACTAGACTATAGACTAGACTATAGACTAGACTATAGACTAGACTATAGACTAGACTATAGACTAGACTATAGACTAGACTATAGATAGGCTATAGACTAGACTATAGACTACACTATTGACTAGACTATGGACTAGACTATAGACTAGACTATAGACTAGACTATAGACTAGACTATAGACTAGACTATTGACTAGACTATGGACTAGACTATAGACCAGACTATAGACTAGACTATAGACTAGACTATAGACTAGACTATAGACTAGACTATAGACTAGACTATAGACTAGACTATAGACTAGACTATAGGCTAGACTATAGACTAGACTATAGACTAGACTATAGACTAGACTATAGACTAGACTATAGACTAGACTATAGACTAGACTATAGACTAGACTATAGACTAGACTATAGACTAGACTATAGACTAGACTATAGACTAGACTATAGACTAGACTATAGACTAGACTATAGACTAGACTATAGACTTGACTACAGACTAGACTATAGACTAGACTATAGACTAGACTATAGACTAGACTATAGACTAGACTATAGACTAGACTATAGACTAGACTATAGACTAGACTATAGACTAGACTATAGACTAGACTATAGACTAGACTATAGACTAGACTATAGACTAGACTATAGACTAGACTATAGACTAGACTATAGACTAGACTATAGACTAGACTATAGACTAGACTATAGACTAGACTATAGACTAGACTATAGACTAGACTATAGACTAGACTATAGACTAGACTATAGACTAGACTATAGACTAGACTATAGACTAGATAGACTAGACTATAGACTAGACTATAGACTAGACTATAAGACTAGACTATAGACTAGACATAGACATACTATAGACTAGACTATAGACTAGACTATAGACTAGGCGATAGACGAGACTATAGACTAGACTAGACTAGACTATAGACTAGACTATAGATATTAGACTAGACTATAGATTAGACTAGACTATAGACTAGGTGAGGTTAGGTTGATAGGAGGATGTATACTACATCAAATCCGAAGAAATACACCTAGGCCACTATCGGGCCTGTTGTGCGCTCCAATTCAAGAAAAAAAAAAAAGAAAATGTTCATTGAATGTATTATTTTTCCATGTTCAGAAACTCAGTTTTCCTGGACGTATTCCTAAGAATCTTCCAATCGGTGTTGGTTAAGAATGTTATTTCCGGAATAACATCACTTCCAAGATACTTGGATCTAACTTCGACGAATGCTATAGACTAGATTATAGACTAGACTATAGACTAGACTATTGACTAGACTATGGACTAGACTATAGACCAGACTATAGACTAGACTATAGACTAGACTATAGACTAGACTATAGACTAGACTATAGACTAGACTATAGACTAGACTATAGACTAGACATATACTAGACTATAGACTAGACTATAGACTAGACTATAGACTAGACTATAGACTAGACTATAGACTAGACTATAGACTAGACTATAGACTAGACTATAGACTAGACTATAGACTAGACTATAGACTAGACTATAGACTAGACTATAGACTAGACTATAGACTAGACTATAGACTAGACTATAGACTAGACTATAGACTAGACTATAGACTAGACTATAGACTAGACTATAGACTAGACTATAGACTAGACTATAGACTAGACTATAGACTAGACTATAGACTAGACTATAGACTAGACTATAGACTAGACTATAGACTAGACTATAGACTAGACTATAGACTAGACTATAGACTAGACTATAGACTAGACTATAGACTAGACTATAGACTAGACTATAGACTAGACTAGACATAGACTAGACTATAGATAGGCTATAGACTAGACTATAGACTAGACTATTGACTAGACTATGGACTAGACTATAGACTAGACTATAGACTAGACTATAGACTAGACTATAGACTAGACTATTGACTAGACTATGGACTAGACTATAGACCAGACTATAGACTAGACTATAGACTAGACTATAGACTAGACTATAGACTAGACTATAGACTAGACTATAGACTAGACTATAGACTAGTATATAGTATATATATATATATTTATATATAAATATTTTTATTTAATATCAATATTTTTAATACAAATATGTATTTTTATTTTCTTTCAGGTACTTTTCAATCAGTCCACATATCCTTATAGCAGTAAGTAAATCAGATTAGTTTCTAATTTTCCTAAAGTGTTTAACAAAAAAAGTCCTTCATTTCACTTTTTCCTCCATAATTTTATTACAAATTTCTGTTTTTAATTCCCTAATTGATTTCACCCTGATTTTAAGGGATTTTCTGGCTGATTTGTAACATTTTGATTAGAAAGCCATCAAAATTTTGTTGGGGTAGTTTTTTGATTAAGAAAATTTCTTTCACGCATTAGCCAAAACACCACCCAAAAAAATATAAGAAAATAATTAACGTTTTGTTTTTTTGGAATCAAAAGATTGTTATTTTATATTTTTAGTAAATGTTGTGGTTGTTGTTGTGCTCTTTCCATAACCCACCCATAAATGTTAAGACTCTATAAAAAATATAATTTTGTGGTGTTCTTATCAGTTTCAAATATAGCGACTACCGTCTACCTTAATTTGAAGTACAATATATTTTATTTAACTTTGGTGTTGTTGTTTATTTATACTGTTTTAGTTGTTGTTGCCGTAGACCCATGTGCTGGTATGCGGTTCTGTCAATGTTTCATTTTGCAAATATTTTCAGTTGTAACGTGTCATTTGGCCAAGTTTCACTTTAATTCTTGGTAGTTAAAAAAGTCTCTTGTGCTTTTAGTTAAAAAAATATTCTATTTTAATTTTCATAATCTTTTTAACGTTTTTTCTTTTTCTTATTTAATTCTAGAGATAATTTTAAAAAGATTATCTACAAACGAATATGCGAAAATAAATAACGACTAAAAAAAATAGTGAATTTAATTAAAAAAAGTTTGAAGGAAACAAACAAAAATAATTAAAATTTGATTAAAAAAATATAAAACAAAAATTACGTAAATAAATTAATGTTCAATTGCAAAAAGTGCTCAATTAAAAAAAAGGGTTTCGAAACAACCCCAAAGTGTTCAGTTGTAAGAATATTCAAAAATACCAGACGCAGTATAACAGGAAAACCTAAACATCTACTTCAAACTGTAAATTGGAAACAGGTACATTCACATAACAAACAGTTTTAAAAGAACGGTTATATCCTAAAAAAATATAAACCAAACTATACACTAGATTATAGCAAAGTCTATGTACTACTAACAGTCCAAAAAGCTGACCTAACTACCGTCCAGACTATAGACCATACCACAATCCAGACTAAACTATCATATAGACCACGGACTTGATCACAGTTCAGATTATTCACAAGATCTGTTGGGACTACAGCTACAGTATAATGCACATTATATACTTGATTAAAATCCGGAATATATGCAAGACTATAATCCAAACTATAGTCCAGAATATGATTTAGACTATAAACCAGACTTTCAAGTAGACTATAGACAAGATCAAAGTCCAAACCATAGACTAGACTAGGGTCCAAAATAAAATATACACTATACGCTAGATCAGAGTCCATACAACAGACTACACCATACTCAAGACTATATGCTAGGCTATAGTCCAGACTATAGACAAGACTATAGATCTGACTATATTCTATACTATGGACTGTAGACAAGACTATAGTCTATCTATGGACTGTAGACAAGACTATAGTCTATACTATGGACTGTAGACAAGACTATAGACCTAGACTATAAACTAGACTATAGACTAAACTATAGACTAGACTATAGACTAGACTATAGACTAGACTATAGACTAGACTATAGACTAGACTATAGACTAGACTATAGACTAGACTATAGACTAGACTATAGACTAGACTATAGACTAGACTATAGACTAGACTATAGACTAGACTATAGACTAGACTATAGACTAGACTATAGACTAGACTATAGACTAGACTATAGACTAGACTATAGACTAGACTATAGACTAGACTATAGACTAGACTATAGACTAGACTATAGACTAGACTATAGACTAGACTATAGACTAGACTATAGACTAGACTATAGACTAGACTATAGACTAGACTATAGACTAGACTATAGACTAGACTATAGACTAGACTATAGACTAGACTATAGACTAGACTATAGACTAGACTATAGACTAGACTATAGACTAGACTATAGACTAGACTATAGACTAGACTATAGACTAGACTATAGACTAGACTATAGAACTATGACTATAGACTAGACTATAGACTAGACTATAGCTAGACTATAGACTAACTATAGACTGACTATAGACTAGACTATAGACTAGACTATAGACTAGACTATAGACTAGACTATAGACTAGACTAGACTAGACTATAGACTAGACTATAGACTAGACTATAGACTAGACTATAGACTAGACTATAGACTAGACTATGGACTAGACTATAGATTAGACCATAGACTAGACTATAGACTAGACTAATAGACCAGATTATAGACTAGATTATAGACTAGATTATAGACTAGACTATAGACTAGACTATAGACTAGACTATAGACTAGACTATAGACTAGACTATAGACTAGACTATAGACTAGACTATAGACTAGACTATAGACTAGACTAGAGACTAGACTATAGACTAGACTATAGACTAGACCATAGACTAGACTATAGACTAGACTATAGACTAGACTATAGACTAGACTATAGAATAGACTATAGACTAGACTATAGACTAGACTATAGACTAGACTATAGACTAGACTATAGACTAGACTATAGACTAGACTATAGACTAGACTATAGACTATAGACTAGACTATAGACTAGACTATAGACTAGACCATAGACTAGACTATAGACTAGACTATAAACTAGACTATAGACTAGACTATAGACTAGACTATAGACTAGACTATAGACTAGACTATAGACTAGACTCTAGACTAGACTATAGACTAGACTATAGAATAGACTATAGACTAGACTATAGACTAGACTATAGACTAGACTATAGAATAGACTATAGACTAGACTATAGACTAGACTATAGACTAGACTATAGACTAGACTATAGACTAGACTATAGACTAGGCCATAGACTAGACTATAGGCTATTCTACAGACTCGACTATAGTTCAGACTGTAGACTAGACTACACTATAAACTAGACTATAGACTATGTAATAGTCCAGGCTATAGTCCATACTATAAACTAGGCTATAGTCCAAACTAGATTTTAGATTTTAATACAGACTAGCCTAGAGTCCAGAAAATGTCTGTAGTCCACATTATAGACTTGTCTATAGTCTGGTTTAAATACCAGACTTCCAGCTTTACTATACTTTGCAATGAATCACTAATTTTAAATTTTTGTGTTTCTGTAGAATTTCAAAAAAAGTTTTGTCTTTTCCAAATCTGTTTAAAATCTAGTTTAGCCCAAATTTAAAACTTGACATTTATTTGTATGTATGTTTGTTAAGAATTTCTCCATATTTGTTTATAACTATTTTGTTTTTTTCGGAATTTATCAGCCCCAAATAAATAAAAAAATTCTTAACCTTGACATTAATTGCTGCTAAAAAATATTTTGCTAATTCGCCAAAAATTTTCTGAATGGCAACCCTGGTGCTATCAACCATAATAGTTTTGAATTTTCAGTGTCATTACCTTATTTATTGTATGTAGTAGTTGTTTATATATTTTTTTAAATATTTATCATTCATTTATTGTCATTTGCAATTTTTGCGTGTTTCTATTTATAAATTGCACGTTTTGTTTTTCTATTTTCAATATTTTGTAAATCATGATTTGGCATGTTATTTATAAGCAAAATATGTACTTTGAATGGATTTTTATTAATATTTTCATCTTGATGAAAATTTAAATTCTATAAGATTATGAAATTTTAAATAAAATTTGAAATGAAAAAATATTTTTCTTGTGATTTATTGTTTTATTTAGAATGAGTCTTGTAGAGTTAAATAAATTTTTAGTTTGAACACACTTAAAGAAATAAAATGGTTTATTTTAATAAAAATTGTATTTAGTACCAAACTTGGTACTAATTTTGGTTTTATTTCTATTGGTATTTTATTCGCTTTGTAATAAAAGTTCAATGACTTTTTAATTTGTTTTTTTTATCATAATTATTTTGGTAAACAAATAAATAATAAATATAGTAATTGTTTTTTTAACTATTTATGATATTTACCGTTTTTCTATTTGTTTATAAGGCTTTTTATTAGAATAATTTAAATTTAAATTTTATTATATTTATTCATTTTTTTTTTTTGTTTATTTTACGCTTTTTAATTATGGCCATTTGTTTTCAAGGTGTCAAAAATTATTTAAATATTTTTAGTTTGTTTATATTTTTTTCAAGCATTTAAGGGAAATAAAACAGTTACAGCATAACATTTTAGCAAAACAGTTATTTTATTAGTTATAAACAAATAAGTTCCATAAACAAATAATGGAAAAATTCTCAAATTACACTGTCAGAAATTTATTTAATTAGGTAATGAAATCTTCTATAAAATTGTTTACAATATGTCTTAATAACTCATCTACAACTGGTCTAAAAAGTCATAAATGCCTTTGGCTATTTGTCTAAAATTTCGTCTAGAATATAAATAATTTCGTCTAGAAACTTTTAAACAAACTCGACTGTAGACAAATTTACTAAATTTTCTGCAAACTCATATAAAAATGTATACAAAACTCTTATATAAAGGTTAGTTAGTTAGTTAGTTAGTTAGTTAGTTAGTTAGTTAGTTAGTTAGTTAGTTAGTAGCTAGTTAGTTAGTTAGTTAGTTAGTTAGTTAGTTGTTAGTTAGTTAGTTAGTTAGTTAGTTCGTTAGTTAGTTAGTTAGTTAGTTAGTTAGTTAGCTAGTTAGTTAGTAGTTAGTTAGTTAGTTAGTTAGTTAGTTGTAGTTAGTTAGTTAGTTACTTAGTTAGTTGTTAGTTAGTTCGTTAGTTAGTTAGTTAGTTAGTTAGTTAGTTTTAGTTAGTTGTTCGTTCGTTCGTTAGTTTCGTTAGTTCGTTCGTTCGTTAGTTCGTTTTTCGTTCTTCGTTAGTTTCGTTCGTTCGTTTCGTTGTTCGTTCGTTCGTTAGTTCGTTCGTTAGTTAGTTAGTTCGTTCGTTCTTTGTTTTAGTTCGTTCGTTCGTTTGTTCGTTAGTTCGTTCGTTCGTTCGTTCGTTCGTTCGTTCGTTCGTTCGTTCGTTTTCGTTCGTTCGTTCGTTCGTTAGTTCGTTCGTTCGTTTCGTTCGTTCGTTCGTTCGTTCGTTCGTTCGTTCGTTTCGTTCGTTCGTTCGTTCGTTCGTTCGTTCGTTCGTTCGTTCGTTCGTTCGTTCGTTCGTTCGTTCGTTCGTTCGTTTTCGTTCGTTCGTTCGTTCGTTGTTCGTTCGTTCGTTCGTTCGTTCGTTCGTTCGTTCGTTCGTTCGTTCGTTCGTTCGTTCGTTCTTCGTTCGTTCGTTCGTTCGTTCTTTCGTTTCGTTCGTTCGTTCGTTCGTTCGTTCGTTTCGTTCGTTCGTTCGTTCGTTCGTTCGTTCGTTCGTTCGTTCGTTCGTTCGTTCGTGTTCGTTCGTTCGTTTCGTTCGTTCGTTCGTTTCGTTCGTTCGTTCGTTCGTTCGTTCGTTCGTTTCGTTCGTTCGTTCGTTCGTTCGTTCGTTCGTTTCGTTCGTTCTTCGTTCGTTCGTTCGTTCGTTCGTTTCGTTCGTTCGTTTTGTTCGTTCGTTCGTTGTTCGTTCGTTGTTCGTTCGTTCGTTCGTTCGTTCGTTCGTTTTCGTTCGTTCGTTCGTTGTTCGTTCGTTCGTTCGTTCGTTCGTTCGTTTCGTTCGTTCGTTCTTCGTTCGTTCGTTCGTTCGTTCGTTCTTCGTTCGTTCGTTCGTTCGTTCGTTCGTTCGTTCGTTCGTTCGTTCGTTCGTTCGTTCGTTCGTTCGTTCGTTCGTTCGTTCGTTCGTTCGTTCGTTCGTTCGTTCGTTCGTTCGTTCGTTCGTTCGTTCGTTCGTTTTTCGTTCGTTCGTTCGTTCGTTCGTTCGTTCGTTCGTTTCGTTCGTTCGTTCGTTCGTTTTCGTTCGTTCGTTCGTTCGTTCGTTCGTTCGTTCGTTCGTTCGTTCGTTCTTCGTTCGT